TACACGGGAATAAAACTTCCCAAGAAAAGTTGGGAATTCTCAATACTTCATGGTTCCAGTGTAACTTCTTTAATACACTGACCTCATTTGACAGTACTATGAACATATTTCTGATACCTTTGTATTATTCAACAAGGAATCATCTCGATGTTCGGCTTAGGAGAAATAAGGGAAGTTCAAGGCAGACACCACTGACGGTCAAATATTGTCAAATATGAACAGTGACAGGATCAGCAGAGAGTCAGGAAATTTAATAAGGAATATCAAAGTTAATACAGACAGAAATCCTATAGTGCACGACTGATCAAGACTCAGGACACACACCATTGTGATCCCAGCCCCTCCTCATGGGAGACACAGACGAGGAAAGCCTGTGGTCAGAGAACACCTATGGTTACTGACTTTGAATTCTAAGTCTTGTGTCTTAGGCACCTGAGATGACAGGCAGGGTCACGAAGGATGGCTTCAAAAGCATCTTAAACTAGCTTTTGCTTCCATATTTTTAAGTAAAGCAAGTCATGAAAGCAAGAATTTTCCATGCAGTAGTAAGATACTTTAAAATCACATCGTTCTAGCAGAAATAACTAGGAAATCTGGGAAACATCACTCTGAAAAGGTCGACTCACAGTCAAACAGTGCGTGCTGAGACCACAGAAGTTTAAATGAGTCCAAACTCCGGTGAGTCTCCATCTGCAAAAGAATCTTCCTTCTCAAATTCACCTATATGCAGTTGGTCAGGAACATGAACCAACCAGTTCTGTGAAATCCTGGGAGTTCCTCGCACTGATTTGTGGGAAATGTAGTCCTTACCACTGTGACGTCATCGGAAGTCTAGCCAATGAAATCAAACTTCCGCATTTGATTTTCAAATTTAACTTCTCTCCAAGTTAGGTGACTGTCCTGTTGAGCTCTGCGTTTGGATCTCTGACATGGAGGTTGGTGCAGGGAACAGCGCAATCTTGCAGATATGAGGGACTGTGCAGGGCGGCTGGAAGGAGCTTACTTGGGCTTGCTGTGAGACAGGGGAAGCTGCTGACCTGGACGTGCTGTGCTGACCTAGGCTGGGGAAGAAGGTTGGAAACAACAGTATGGCCAGGACAGGCTGGGTGGGCTGCCTGCCAGTGTCTGAGATGCTGAAGGGAGCTCACTCATCTTTACTGGGGAAACGTGCTCTTCCTAACTGACCTGTTCTCATGTGGCTGTAGTCAGATTCTCAGGTCTTACAGAACACGTGGACGTCTTGCGCCTCCTATACTTTATGTTCTGTCTAGTATTGAGTTTGAGTCACAAATCCTAAAGTTCCTGGTGTCCAGGGACAGAATCCTGTGGGGGTGATTGTTGTGTGAGGTTGTAGAGTGAAAAATTATAGATACTGGGTGTATAGAATTATTTTTAGACATATAAAATATTCTTTAGGCTTTCTTTATAAAGACATGGAGAAACTGAGCCATGAATCAAGTTAGGAATGTGGAAAGACCAGTCACCATTACTGGAACTGGCCTATCTGCAAAGAGAAAGGAAAGAATGCAAGTGAACTAGGTGGAACCAAGCTGGGAACCAAGCTGAGATCATAGTGACAGGGCAAGGCCAAATTAACAGGGCAGGACCACATTCTTGAGAAAGATAAGCGTACAGAGCTGAGTTTTCACCTGACCCTGACTCACGTAGGTTGGGTTCCTTTGGAATGTTCCACTATTTTTATGTTATACCACCCTAGCAACCCCCTCACCCCCTCCTCATTCCTTGGTTTGTGGTTTTTCCCTTTAAAAACATCTCTCAAACTGGCTGTCGGGGTCAATTCAGTTCCTGCGTGGACATACGAATTGACCGGCAGCTAGTTGTCACGCCCTAATAACCTCACAATTGCTCCGGTACATGGTGTCTCGAGCAGATTACTGGGTGGTCACGACTTTCTGAGACTTGAGTAAGGGTCTCCCCTCTGCGGAGGTCTTCAAGGTGTTAGTTCCTTTTCCTTTGGAATGAATTGTTAGATTTATGGATGCCTCGGTTCTAATAATAATTCTGATGTACAATCCTGTCTCCTGAATCATCACAATACTAGGCGATGTAGTCACAGAATAATCTTGTAACTGGTAAGAACCGGTCTTTGCACAATCCAAATTATTGTGGAATTTGCCCTTCTGCTTAAATATCACTAGACCGTAATACCTCAGCAATTCTTAGTATGAGTTCTGTTCAAAATTAGAATTTCTTTTTAGATATGATAGATGGCGTGGTGCCAGGAGAGAAATGGAACTCGTGATCTCTGGGAGGGGCTTGAATGTCTCAGAGAAGGGAGATGGCCCTCCTCTGGTCACATGATTGTCTTCTGTGTGTTCACATTATCAGCAATGTCTAAATTCCCTTAAATATACTCTGTCCCTGTGTCTGGCATCCAGCTTTACTGTTGCTCCCTGAATGTTTCTAGAATGATTTCCCCAAGTTTTCGTGAGGATTTAAGAAAAATTTGGAAAGCTTGTAAGAAAAATTTGGAAGGCTCTGGCACATTTGCTGTCTTCTTATTTTAACAGGTTCCTGCCATGCAAAATTCAGTTCTCCTCTTAAAGGGTTAAGAGAGAGTTTAGTCCGGAGCCTTTTGAGTGTCATTATCTAAGAATACAGATTTAGTTTAATCCAACATCTGTGCTTCTACAGAAAGCAGTTTCATGGTTTTAGAGAACAGAGAATGTCATTAACCAAGGAAAGTTAAAATACTTTACTGTGTGTCTCATAGAGATATCGGAGCTATTCTAGTCACCTAAGGTACCATCGGATGAGATTTTAGCTTTTGGACTGGTAGAATCTCAGGTTCTGCCAAGTCAGTGGGTTCTGAGAGGTTTTTATCTATTGTCACAAGCTGTGTGGTCCACTACAGACTGAAGCAAGAACTGACTGTCCTGCAGGAAAAACCAGCCCAAGGTTAGTCAGCTCCCCCTGAACCTGCAAAATTCCAGGCTCTGCCCCTCAATGACCTTCCACATGGGCCCTCAGTCTCTTGACACACAGACTCCTTCCAAGAGTTTTGCATTCACAGTCAGACTCACAGTTTTGTGTGTTTGTGTTTTAAGGATTTCTCCTCCACAGCCCCTCCCCCATCTCAGGTGAGCTTGTTTATATTGTCAGTTCAGTCAAACCAAGTGTTAGTGAGGCAGAGCCTGGCTCATGGCATTCAAATCTACTCTCAGGGAACTTGGGCTTCAGACCACCTTGTTCAGTTTGCTGGAATTTTCAATGAGTTTGAAACCATATCTAGAATAATAGACATTTCTAAGTTAATGTTGCTAATCTGTAGGAAAAATATAACAATATATGAAGTTGGAATCCCATGGTACCATGTACACCAAACCAAGTTCCTTACAATGTAGAGAGGCTACAGCAGTGTGTTCATATATAAATTACAGGCAGCAAATATTCATGTGTATTTTAGCCAGCTCTATGACAGAAAAGTGAACTTAAGCCTATTCTAGGACACAATTCTGTCAGCTCTGCTTTGGGGATAGTCAGGAATCCTTGGGTTCAAAACCATCCTCTCCTTCATAGCCAACTCAGTGTGAGCCTACTCTACTTGAGAACGGTGGTTTAAAAAGATTCTTGTAATTACTTCTGGTATTCTCAGTTCTGAGCACCAGTGGCCTGACTGAAATCTATCCAGTTGACATCTTGTAATTATGAAAACTTACAAATGTGCTTTAAGAAATTCTCTTGAATATATTTGAAGTCTTAAATCCAAATTTTCACTAGCATTCTTCTATTACTGACTAGTGTTGGGGATTAGAAACTTGATTCCATCTACTCTGTGGGGAAGGATCCCTCTCTGCCTGGCTTGACTGTTCCTCTGTGTTTGCAGGGAATGTTAGTTATGTTTGCATATTCTTCTCTCTCATTTTCTGACATCACCTCATGGTGATTTCTTCTGATTTCACATGAATTTTTGAGAACAGCACTGCGGCTCTACAGATAGAAGATGAGAACTTCATCTGCCACTGTCCTTCACATCCAGTGATGAAATCACCACCATCCAGACAATGGAGTAAACTGTCCAGGCGGGATTCCTTCCTCTTCCTCAGGGAGGACTCCAGTCTCCTATGCTGTGCACTCCTGCCCTTTTCCTCACAGGCTCTTTTCATTTCATCCTAATGTTACTGTGAGTGACGGTGTGAATGAAGGACTCGCTGATCTTAACAGGCTTAACACTGTCTGCCTTTTGTGGAGCCCGTATCCTCTCCTTGTCCTACAATTCTTCCACCAACTCTTACATAAGATTTCCAAGCTCCTTCTAATATTGCTGTGGGTTGCTGCTTCTGTTTCAGTCACATGCTGGGTTGATCCTCTCAGAGGACATTTAACGGAAGCTCCTCTCTGCAAGACTGGGTGTTATTAATTGTATTAGGCACCGGTTCTTGCCTGCGGAAAGGGTCTCAAGTTAGGTTAATAAAGCGTTGGCCATTCCCTCCGTCTCTGCTCCATCCTTCCTCTGCACTTCTTGTATGTAGGATAAATTTTGTATCAAAGGTTTTGTCCTCTGATCAGTGTCCTTATCTCTCCAATGGGGTCCTACCTGACTACAGGAGGAAGCCACTTTAGGCCCCATATTTCCCACTGCTAGGAACTCAGCTAGAGTAACCCTCATAGACTCCTTGAAGCCTTTTACATCTCTTCCCAGAGACCCCCCTTCCCCAGCCCACCATAGAATTCCATTCACTCTACTGGCCCTCTCTCCCAGACTCTCCCTACACCCTATCCCCATCCCCCATCCCCCTTCCTATCCCCTTCCATAGTTTTGATTTGTAAAATATAATTCTTGTAATGCTCTTTATATTGTGGATGGTTTTTCTGTCTCTTTTAATCACTTCAGATATTTGTGTGGTGTGCAGTATCTTAAGTTGGATGTCATTGTCTTTTAGGAGTTGGGATGCATTACTCCAGGCTCTTCTGGCTTGCAAAGTTCCATATAGGAATTGGCTGTTATCCTAATAAAATGTGCTCTTTGACTTGGAGATTTCAGTATACCATGAAGTTTTATTTTCTGATCTTGTCCAATTAAGTATTAAGTGTGCTTTTTATATTATTATGGGTGTACCTTTCCTTAGTTTAGAGAAGATTTCTTTTATAGCCTTCTTGAGATCATATCTGTGTAGTGGTAATTTAGTTAACTTGCTCTGGATTCGAAAACAAAAGACAGGCAGAAAGACAGACACACACAGAGACAGACAGACACACACACACACCCCAGTTAATTTTCATATGCCTTGGCTGGCTCAATGGTTGGCACTTCTAATCCTCCCTGTGCCTAGCGCATTTCCCTCCAGGGATTCTGCTGTAACACCTTCTCATTGTATCTTTGCTGTCCTGTTACCTTCTGGGCAGCCGCCGCCATAAGCTGCTTACTCCTTCCACATATATTTTGCATGGGTTTTCTTCTGTAGCTCCTAAATCTGATTATGCTGCCTCTGAGTCAGGAGGATGCTCCTCTCTCTCTCTCTCTCTCTCTCTCTCTCTCTCTCTCTCTCTCTCTCTCTGTCCCTCCCTCCCTCCCTCCCTCCCTCCCTCCCTCCCTCTCTCTCTCTCCCTCTCTCTCTCTCTCTTCTATGTTTGTTCCAAGCCCAGGAATCCTCAAAGTCCAGCCTATGTCTGCCCTGCCAAGCTACGTGCTGCTGTCATCTTTGTTTACCAATCAGAACAAACTGGAGTCTGGGTCCTTCAGTGTCTCACGTGCAGGCACTGTGTAAGCTGTTTGGGGACCAATATTAGCATTAGAATACAAGGAGCATTAGGCCCAACCCACTTCATCTATGCCACTGCCTGGTCTGTTCACCTTGTCTAACCTTTCCTGTGTATTTCTTTCCCACAGATTGTTTTCTTCATTTATTTCATCTAATTAGCTTATGTTATCTAGATCACCTACTTTATTTGTAAATACTTACACACTATCTTCTGCTCATTTATTCTAGTGTCATTTTTTCTTATATAATTTCTTTTAGGATTATTGGGCTAGATTTTAGATCACTGCTGCTAGAGTCCTGTTCAGGGTTTCTCTTTATTGAATGCCAGTTTCAAATCCTGGAACGTTTTGTCATTTCCATCATTCTAAAGTTTTTGGTTTCTGAAATGTCACAGAAGCATTTATTCTTTTTATGACCATTGTCTTTAATGGCACTGAGATGCATCTTCATGCCTTTTTGAAATATTTTGTAGTCTTTGATGAAGCTTGTGATTGTCTTCTTTTTTGTTTGTTTTGTTTTGTTTTGTTTTTTGAGACAGGGTTTCTCTGTGTAGTTCTGACTGTCCTGGAACTCACACTGTAGACCAGGCTGGCCTCGAACTCAGAAATCCGCCTGCCTCTGCCTCCCAAGTGCTGGGATTAAAGGCGTGCGCAACCACTGCCTGGCGTGATTGTCTTCTAAAGTCCGTGTTCTAGTGTAGAGTGAAAAATTATAGATGCTGGGTATATAGAATCCTTTTTAGACATATAAAATATTCTTTAGGCTTTCTTTATAAGGACATGGAAAATTTTCTGAGAAACAGAGCCATGAAGCAAGTTAAGAATGTAGACAGGCAGTTATGGGAACTGGCTAGAATGCAAGTTAGCCAGGTGGAACCAAGCTGGGAACCGCAGTGACAGGGCAAGGCCGAAGTAACAGGGCAGGACCACATTCTTGAGAAAGATAAGCCTACAGAGAGTTTTCACCTGACCCTGACTCACGTAGGTTGAGTTCCTTTAGAATGTTCCACTATTTTTATGTTATGCCACCTTAACAACCCCTCATCCCTCTCCCCATTCCTTGGTTTGTGGTTTTTCCCTTTAAAAACACCTCTCAAACTGGCTGTCGGGGTCAATTCAGTTCCTGCGTGGACATACGAATTGACCGGCAGCTAGTTGTCACGCCCTAATAACCTCACAATTGCTCCAGTACATGGTGTCTCGAGCAGATTACTGGGTGGTTGAGACATTCTGAGACTTGAGTGAGGGTCTCGTCTCTGCGAAGGTCTTCACTTAGTGCTCATCTAAGCAACGTGTAATGGCAAATGTTTCTATCTTGTGTGATGGTGGGTACAAGCCAGCGTGATCTTTTCTGTTGCTTATTTTTATATATGATCTGGCCATGTGGTTTTCAGGAGAAAATGCAAGCATGACCAAGCAGTTACCTTACCTGCAGCAAATGTAAATGTTGTTTTGTTTGTTTTGTGTGTCTGACTTCATAACAGCTTCCTTTATTCTTTCCAGTTATAAAAGAACTCTATGTTTCTTTAACCCTAATGCATTATTTTTCTTTATAGTCCCCTTTTATGTGATTTTTGGGATCATCTCAAGGTGTTGGATATTAACTTTTTTCATTTGAATTTGATCATTTGAATACATGGCAGCACCACACCAACCCCAAACAATAATGTCTGATATTTACCCTTTTTTTTAATTTTATTTTTTTCAGGATATGCTGTCATTCTGGGATGTGGTAATCTATTTCTCTGCAGAGGAGTGGGAATTACTGAGTCCCACTCAGTGGAACTTGTACAGGGATGTGATGTTGGAGAATTACAACAACCTTGTGTTCCTGGGTGAGAATGCCTTCCATGATGAATTTTTAAGTAATTGTGATTGTGAAAGTGGCTCCCTTTGTACAGTATCTCATGAGAATTTCTACATCCATCAGTGAAGTCCATAGGGCTACTTTTAAGGAAAATTTAAATTATTCCTATAGCTTTGCACTGTCTCTTCTTGGGTTCATACCACCCTCCAAATGTATTGTTTGCGGTAGAATATAAGTGGTACCATAAAGAGAACAACACACACTTCAGTTGTAAAAGTTCTCCTGGTAACCCAGGTGTGAGGCTCAGGCCCTGCAGTTTCCAAGTTGCTCCTCAGCATTCTGATGTGGCCATCAGAAAACACCTAAGGACTGGCCCTCTATACTCCTTTATTGTATTTTCTCATTCCTGATACACTCAGCCCTGGAGGGACATTTTATTTACCATGGGACCACAGTAACAATGTTTTTCCATTTTTCCACAAACAGGTCTTGCTTCCTCTCGGCCATACCTGGTCACATTTCTGGAGCAAATACAAGAGCCTTCAGATGTGAAGAATCAAGAATCCATCACTAAGTACACAGGTGTGTCAGAAGAAGGGTGTCAGAGAAAAAAAGTGGGAAATGCTAAGATCTAACATAAATCCATTGATACACTGTATTCTGGTATAAATCATCTTTTTTTAAAGTAAATATATATATATAAAGTATATATGTATTTAAGAGTAAATACATATATATATGTGTGTGTGTATGTGTGTATATATATGTATATATACACATACATATATGTATGTATGTATGTATGTATGTATGTATGTATGTATGTATGTATTTTTACTTATTCACCTCACATCTGGCTCACTGCCCCCTTTCTGGTCATCGCTTCTCAGAATTCATTTGTCTGCCATCCTTTTCAGCTCTAAGCAGGTGGACTCCTTCCTCTGTGTCTCCCTGCCTCCCCCCACCCCACCAACACACGCCCCTGCCACCTGGCACTTAAACACTCTTTAATCCTAGGTGCTTTCTTTCCCACTGGGTCCCATCATGGCAGCCCAGCTAGTAGAATATCTTTCACATCCAGGCAACAGCTGTTGGGATAGCCTCCTTTCCAGTTGCTCAGAACCCACATAATGATCAAGCCGTGAACTGGCTGCATATGAGCAAGGAGGCCTAGGTCCAGCCCATGTTTGTGCTTTGTTGGTTCAGACTCAGAGCCCCAAGGATCCAAGTTAGTTGACCCTGTTGGTCATCCTGTGGAGGTCCTATCCCCTTTGGGTCCCACACTTTTTCCTCCTCTTCTTCCTTAGGATCCCCATGCTCCATCCACTGTTTGGCTCTGGGTGTCTGTATCTGTCTGAGTCAGCTGCTGGGTGGAGCCTATCTTAAGACCACATGCTTATTCGCTTTTAAAAATCCACTTTTCTGTCTTTTCCTGTCAAAGGTGGACATAATCTAACTGTTATAATACTTTGAGTCCCATTAGCTTTGCTTTCTTCTACTATGAGATTAGCCTGTGTTTCCCATGACAGCCAAAACTCTGTCATTTGTATGTAATCTTTAACTTGGGTATGTATCTTTTATAAGATATATGTACATGCATGTTTAAAAGTGATAAATTATCTTGCCTAGGTCCCAAATGAATAAGACAGAGACTATAAGATTTACTTGATATGCTTTACAACACAATTACTGGGACATTAATAATGAGTCTAATTCTCTAAGGTAATCTGGCTAGCTCCCAGAAAAAGTCCCCATGATACTTGCGTTTTAGTACTGGTCTGCCTATCTGAGATTCAGGGAACTTCAGATGATGTGAACCCTTCCTTATAGTGAACACCCCCTCTCTGTTCTCCCCTGGGGTAGCAGAAGTCCAGCATATTCTCTCTTCTGCCCGCAGCCATTGGCTGATCATCTTATAATGACAAGTTAGAGCATAAATGGGGAACAATGTTTACACAGACTTGAGATGGGAGAGTCTAAGAATCAGTATTACAATGTCATTTCTGGAAGGCACACACATATGGGGGCAGAAAAATCAAGCATTTGACTAATACATGGTGAATCTTCTCAAAATGCACAAAACCATTATGCCTAAAGATATACATGAAACCTTCTTTCTTGAATCTGTATTTAATGTTATTAAAGAAAATCTTCTTCAGTCTCCTTTAAAACTTGTAAAACAAAACTCTATACTTAGAATATGCATATAATATTATATACATATATAATATATAAATATTGTTTTTTGGTGTTTTCCAAATTAGAATACTTTGTACTTTGCTCTTAAGTACTCATGAAATTTCAGCATCTCTTTAAGGAGCTGATTTGCATAATGCCATTATGGGTTTTCTTAGTGGATATGATTCATTCATTCTTCTTTGATATTGTTTAATATTCTATTCGTTCTGTGTTGTCTGTTGCCATCATCTTCTTTCTTCAAGGAAGTCTACATGATTTTCACTTATTCTGTGTTTTAAATTGTACTTCACTGAATACAGGTACAGAAAATGGAATGTAGCTTCTGATTAATACAGAGAAATGCAAGCTTAAGTAAATGTTGGTTTTTTAAAAGCTATCAATATAAATATACAGAGTTTTGGTCTGTTTTCATTCATTTCTCAACTGTTACTTACCAGGGGGAAACTGCTATGCGTGCCAAGACTGTGGTAATGTCTTTGAGGGGAAAGAAGCATTTCAAAATCATCTGATACTTCATTTAGATGTGAAGCCCTACAAATGTGAAGAGTGTGGCAAGTCCTTCCGTTTTCCATCAGTACTTTCTGAACACAAAAGGATTCATACAGGAGAAAAACCCTACAAGTGTGACATCTGTAGCAAGGCCTTCTATGGGCAATCAAGACTTTTTCAACATAAGAAAATTCACCTAGGACTCTACAAGTGTGAAGTATGTGGCAAGGCTTTCAAGAATTCATCAGAACTTAATGATCACATACGCATTCATACAGAAGAGGAGCCATACAAGTGTGAAATATGTGGGAAGGTCTTCCACTCCCCACCGTCACTTCGTCAACACATGGGAATTCATACAGGAAAGAAACCCTACAATTGTGATGTATGTGGCAAGGCCTTCCGCTTTCCAGTATTACTTTCAAAACACAAGATAACTCATACAGACCAAAAACCCTACAAGTGTAAGATATGTGGACAGTTCCTCCGCTGTCAGTCATCACTTGCTTACCACAGGATAATGCATTCAGGAGTGAAACCCTACCAGTGTGAAGTATGTGACAAGACCTTCGATTGTCCATCAAGGCTTTCTAAACACAAGATAAGACATACAGAAGAGAATCCCTACAAGTGTGAAGTGTGTGGAAAGGTCTTCTGCTCTTCATCATCACTTCGTGGTCACCAGAAAACTCATAGAGAAAAGAAACCCTACAGGTGTGAAGTATGTGGCAAGGCCTTCCGTTATCCATCGGAACTTTCCACCCATAAGAAAATTCATAAAAGAAAAAAAAAAACAAAAGTGTGAAGCAGGTGGAAAGGCCTTCCATTATCCATCATTACATTCTAAACACAAGGTAATTCATACAGAAGAGAATCATTACAAGTGTGAAGTGTGTGACAAGGTCTTTAATTATCCGTCAAGACTTTACAAACATAACAAAATTCATACAAAAGAGAAACCCAACAAATATGTGGCCTGGCCTTCCATGGTCCATAATTACTTTCTGGAAAAAAAAAAAAGAGAGAGAGAATCCATACAGGTGGAAACCCTAAACTTGTGAAGTATCAGTCAAGTCCTTCAGAGCTTTCCAGATTCTTTCACCGTATTTGGTAAGTCATTCTGGAGAGAAGCCATACAAACCTGAGGAATGTGGGAAAGCCTCCTTTACAAAGTCATACCTATATCTACAAAAATTAACTCACAATGTGGAGACTACTTACAAATGAAAAGAATATGTCAAAATGTTCAACAAATGTAGGGATCACCGAAGAATTCTGGAAAGAAAACATACGAATATAAAAAATGTGGTAAGTACTTTTGAAGTTCTATTGCATAGTTGGAACAGAGAATAATTCCTATTGGAGATAAACACTACACATGTGAAAAATGTGCAAACACTATTCTTACCAGTCTTCTGGTCTCAAGCCACATTAAAGACTTCATCTATGAGAGAAACCACACAAGTGTGGAGAATGTACTAAAGTCTTTTGGACTTACTGAAAATTTGGGAAAAACCTCATATTCATAATAGACTGAAATGTGACAAATATGAAAAATGTTGCAAATGCCTTAATAAGCTTATTTATATTTCTTAGCAAAAGCTACCTGAAAAGCAATAGTTCAAATGTTAAAATGTTCATAAAATCTTTTCTTTTGGTGTGTTTGTTTATTTGTTTGTTTGTTTTTCAAGACAGGGTTTGACTGTGTAGTTCTGGCTGTCCTGGAACTCACTTTGTAGAACAGGCTGGCCTCGAACTCAGAAATCCACCTGCCTCTGCCTCCCAAGTGCTGGGATTAAAGGTGTTCACCACCACTGCCCGGCTCATAAAATCTTAACACTTCTTCAGACCCTAAAAGTTATCAACAGCTTCATGCTGAATAGAAGCCCTATAAGTTTGAGGAATGTGGTAAAGGCTTTGGAATCTTTCATACAATCATGACAAAAGTGGAGCTGTCAGACACCTGGATTTTGGGGATGATCCTTCTTTGTTCCTTTTAGAATTAAAACCCTTGTTGTATACCAGGATGTAGAAAAGTCGTCACTTGTTTATATGCTGTAAGAGCTCACAGTTAAGAGACTGCCTTGAGTCTCACGTGCCACATGGACTGTGGTCTTTCATACTGTTGTAATTATTAAATACTTTGTGGACCTGTCAAGTTGTACCCTATTTACTTATGAAGTGAGGGTAAGGTTGGGGAAAGGGAAGGAGTGTTAAGATTAAAAGCTTTCAGGAGAGAGCTAGCATGTTTGGGAACAAACTGAATTGTTAACAAGACCCACACCCATGTTAGTAATCCCAGTACCCACAAAATAGAACGAGGTAATTATCTCTGAATGTTGTCCTCTGACCTCCATGCATGGGCCCCCACACAAACATAAATATGTGTGCCCAGAAATAAATAAACATAAACTACACTTTTGAAATGACTGTGTTTTATGTGGACAAGAATAGTATGTCAATTGTCAGCACCATGAGTTCTAGAACCATTTATTTGAGTTGCAAGGCTCTGGTTGACTTGTAGGATTTATCTTGATTACTTTAGTTGATTTCAGAAGGCTTGTTGATTGTGGTTGCAAGCATCTGTTTGACTGAGTTGCTGCAGAATATAATAATACCCTGAGAACAGCTACTCATCAATCTCCTCCTTCCTACTGTGGAAGGAACATGACCAGCTGCTTTAAGTGCCTCTTCTTCTAACTTTCTCACCACCTATTGTGGTTAGAATAAGAATTGCCCTAAGGGCTCATAGATTTGAATGCTTAGTCATCAGGTAGTAGCACTTCTGGAAAAGGATTAAGAAGTGTAGCCTCATTAGTGTAAGTGTGTCACTGGGGCTCATATTTGAGGTTTGAAAAGATCAGACCCAGTGTCCCCCTCTTTTACTGACTATGGGTCAGTATGGAGAATTCTCAGCTACTTCTGGAGCTCCACGTCTGCCTGGATTGCAATGTGTTACCTAGCTTGCTCCCCACAATAGTAATGGACTAACTTCTGAAACTGATAACAAGCCCCAATCAATACTTTCTTTCATAAGAGTTGTCCTGGTTTGGTATCTCTTCATAGCTATAGAACACTGAGTAAGATTCCATGGTTGTGATGGTTTGTATATATGCTCTGCCCAGGGATTGCCACTGTTAGGAGTTGTGGCCTTGGAATGGGTGTCCACTGTGGGCATGGACTTAAGACCTTCATCCTAGCTGCCTGGAAGTCAGTCTTCTATTGGCAGCCTTCAGATGAAGGTGTAGAACTCTCAGATCTGCCTGCACCATGCCTGCCTAGATGCTGCCCTGCTCTCACATTGATAATGGACTGACCCCTGAACCTGCTAGCCTGCCCCAAATATATGTTGTCCTTTATAAGATGTGCCTTGGTCATGGTGTCTGTTCACATCAGTGAAACCCTAACTAAGACAGTGGTAGACAATGAAATTCAACTATGGTCCAAATTAAACCCTTCAAGTTGCTCTTGTGTGCATAATTTATCACTGCCATTGGAACACTTATACATCTTCATGCCAAATGCAAGTTGCAATGTGACATTTAATACACATGAATCGTGTCCTTTTTCCCTTTATTGTCCTGCATTTTGCCCCCTTGGCTAAAAAGTATTTCTTCTCCTCTTTACTTACATGTCTACACACATATCTACATGAACAACACAGATGTACAGCAAGCAGTGTCCAGAACTATAGAAAGGTTAGTGACTTCTGGCTGCCTGACAGTCACACAGATTCCCCTGCAACACTGCAGCATTTATCTCTTCAACCTATTGGCCCAGAACACCTGACAGTTTTTTCTATAAAGTAGCAAATATGAAGGAGTTCTGTCCCTTGTCCTGGCAGAGTTTGGCAGTTGACTTTCTTTGTGTCCTGCTTGTCCACAGCTTGGACAACATATGGTCAGAAGTTGAGGCAAGGGCAGTTTCTTGTCCACTGGCAGCTTGTCACATTTGCAGTAAACTCCATAAGGAGGTTCTTCAATGTTCATCATCATCTTCAAAGGAGTCTGTGGGTTTGCCAAGAGCTGTCATTTCTGATTGTCCAAAATTCATAAAACATCATTCAATGCCATATTCTACAGGTTTCTGATGCTTCTGAACCATCTCACATTCTCAGAATATTTGCATAGGCATATGTTGCTTGTCTCTAACTATTTACTGTCTCATTAACTTAGAAAATGTCTGTGATTTACCTAAACTAGTATGTGTTGAGGTTTTTTGTCTTTTACTATCTATTGTAATGCTAAGAGCAGGCCCCCAAGACCTGGAGTGTGCACCTAGGCCCTGGCATCCTGCCCCACGTTATTTCTGATGGGTCAATAAAGAGCCAACACGCTAATAGCTAGTCAGAAGGGACACAGGTACCATTTAGGTTTCCTGGGCTTGGGATCACAGGAGAACCAGGAGAAGAATGTGCAGGTGGGAAAAGAAGCAGCTGCTGTGGATTAGGGGAGCCATTGAAAAAAGTAAATAAAATAAAAAGTGACTCTCCGAGCTGGCCAAGAGAAGTTTAGAACAGCCCAGATGAAGTATATCTTACATTAAATAATTCAAGGTTATCAATGGGAAAGTAGATTCTGATAGCATCAATGCTGGGTGTCCACCATCCTGTACTATGTGAGGCTTACTGTAAATATCAAAGTTGTGTGGGTTTCTGTTCAGGAACTAAATGGTAAAGGTGAGGTTGAAACCCTGGACCAGGATTAAAACATTTCTACAACATATGGCTTCTCAATATTGGCAAAAACTCACTTTTAAAAAATTGATTTGAGATTGCCAAATGGAAGACATATGCCATCCATTTAACCTTAGGAGACAGGAAAAACTGGTTTCTTAGCTGTACATTTTTTCTCAAAGACACACGGTGTTTAGGACTAGGATAAAATTCCTGCTAACTGAGTGCACAAAATCCTGGGGTTCATGGCATCAGTTAAGACACAGGTTTACCCCAAGTGGAATCAGACAACACAATAGAGGTGGGGGGTTGATGGGAGGAGCCCTGCTGTGCAATGAGGCAGGCTGCTCAGACACAGAAAGCATTGCTGCATGCCTCTCACAGTCAAATAAAAATGGAGAAGAAATGGAAATCTAAGTTGTCAGTGCTATGTTAAGCTACTGGGTTCTTTCAATGTGTGCTCCACTGTAATATTAGGACTGCTTAGCCTAGCACTTGACACATATATTGGCCTGAAAAATAGGTTATACAGAATATAGAAGGGAATTTTATTGAAGTTAAATATAGAAAAGAATATTAGTTCAATAAATATAAAGAAGAAGTGTATATATATATATATATATATATATATATATATATATATATATATTATGCCTGAGTTTTTTTTTTTTTTCTGAGAGTAGAAGAGTGCTGATCTGTGTTTTCCATTGCTGCTACGACTCACACCCCAATAAATTCATGCTCTATTGGCCACATATTGTTTTTATTTATATATGTATTCTTCTGGCCTTATACACCTGACCCCATGAGCAAGTTGTTTCACCATAGATAAAGTCACTAGAAGATGAATATTTACCCTCTGAAGAGGCCATCTGGATGCAAAGATGTTGGTAAATTATTGTTACTTCTTCTCCCATGTCTACTACATCTTCAATTTCTATGTCATTGGTTTGTGGTTTTTGGCTTTGATCTCTGATAACATAGCAGTTTAACATAACACTTCATTTTTGTGTTTTATCCTGGATTTTTTGTTTCATCTATTGAAGTTGTTTTGTCCTTGATTACATCCAGAGCAGTGGCATTTTTTTTTTTAAACAACAGATATTAAATCTTTTAATTGATCTGATCTGTGGCTGAATTCCTCTGATGGTGATAGGGAATGGTTGAGTCAAATTTGATTATGTATATAATCAAATATATATGCCCAGCTTGCAAGGGAAGTCCAAGAGTCTACTAGGTGTTCAGTCCCATT